TGAAATTCAAATTTCAGAAGACAGTTATATTCTATTTTCCATTCTATTGTTTTTTTATTCTAATTTATTATATTCTTTTTATTTTATTCTGTTCTGTTTGAATTTGAATTTATTCTATTCAAAATTTTTAATTTCAGAGGACAGTTATATTCTTTCTATTGTACTCTCTTCTATTCTATTGAATTCTATTCTATTGTTTTTTTCTATTATATTCGATTCTTTTTTTAGTCTCATATTCTATTCGAAATCCAATGTAATCTATTCAAAATCTGAATTTCGGAAGATGGTTATATTCTTTCTATTTTTTCTATTCTATTGTTTTTCTATTCTATTTTATTGCCTATTCTATTCTATTCTGTTCTAATTTATTTTTATTATTTTATGTTATATTAAATTCTTTTTGTATTTGAGTTGAATTAGAATGTTATGCAAATTTTGTTCAAATTTGGAAAAAAACCGAGCCGCATATGTCTAATGTGGATGTTTGGTAAGGAGTGCTTTTTGATGTTTTTTCTAAAAATATTTTAAACAAATGTAAAGCCAGATAGAATTTGGCATTAGACTTTCCTATGCACACATAAAAAAGCATTTGGAATTTCAATGCTAGGATTGCCACCAAAAGCATGCGTTCCCTGCGCTAATACAAATCAGCACTGAGATGCAGCCTCTATTAGGGAATGTGGAGAATTCTTCTGTCTCCACTAGGGTTGAGCTCAGTGTTTGGTATCAATGCTGACTATTCAGGCCATTAGGGTGCTCAGCGTCTACAAACGCGACAGCTTCCAGCTGTCATCAGTTGCTAAGGAAGCAGTGGCTGCTTGCACCCTTCACGGCGTTACCAACCACTAACGTCACCAGACCTATTCCCTTACGTGGCCGGAAATCCACAGGCCATGCAAGGACATGGGAAGGGAATGAGCCTGTTTACATCATTGCCTACATTTGTCACACCACTATCCCTGATCACTTCTTTTTATATCTGAGGACAGCTTGGGGAGCCGCTCTTCTGCTTTGTGTAGAATCGGGATGCAGAGAGCGACTGCAGTGGGTATTGATGGATTTTCCTTGAGGGACATTGTAGGTGGGATGTTTTTATTTAATAAAAGACTTGTCAAACATTTGGGTGTCTTTATTTCCAGATGACATATTTTTTTTTGTTTGTGAATGAGTAGGGGTGCTATGTACCCCGTATTCATTCACATGGGGGCGGTATCTGGGGGCCCTTTATAATTAAAGTGGGTTTCCAGATTTTTACAAGCACCCCTACAGCAGACCCCCCCACATCCACCAGGCAAGGGTTGTGGGGATGATGCCTTTGTCCTCTTCAACATGGGGACAAGGTGCTAGAGAGGTCTTTCCTAGCAAGACATCCTCCATTTGAGGACATGAGGCTTGGCATGGTTTGGGAAGGGCCACATGCTCATCTTTCCCTTTTCCTGACCAGCTCATGGTTTTTGGGCAATCCTCATTGTCACAGTCGTGCATACAAGAGGCAGGCACTGCTCTCCCTGTATTAATAAGTCTTCATGTATCCCCTCATTCCACCTCCCTCAGGAATGCGATTAGCGTGTGATGCTGAGCCCCTGCCTAACAATTCTTTGCCAAATAAGGCTTGGCTTGTCCATTGTGGGAAGAGACACCCAGTTGATTTTGTGTAGAGAAAAGAAGCTGTTATGTTTTGTGTGTAGTCAGAGAAGTGAGGACTTTCGGCACTTTACCATCTAGCAAACCGAGAGCAAAAGAGAATCGTGCTGTACCAACGAAACTGAGTGCGAGACCAGAAATCCCTTTTTAGCTCATCAGACTTGAAACTGCTTAACCCCAGGCATTTATTTGGCAAGTACTTATTTGCCTAAACTTCTTTCTGTTATCTGTTTGCTGTGCTGTTGTGCTCTGTATATATATATATATATATATATATATATATATATATATATATATATACATATATTGGTTACATCTTCTTTCTGTAAATATTTTTACTGCACCCTTTCGAACTTTTGGTAATAAATCTTACTTTCTAAAAGTGTTGAACTGTCTCTATAGCTCCTGAATGTAACTTACAAATCCCTGTTGCTGAAGAGTGCTACTATGAGTATTTAACCCTCTGTATAACCGGTCTGTAGAGATAGCGGACTACTGACGGTTAACCAATCATCCTAGTGTATTGCTGAGTTTCCTCTTTGTCTGTATAAAAAGGAGGTGGTGCCAGTGTAAAGGGTTAATTGCGTAATTAACCTGACCCAGTAACAATCACATTCAGGCTGCCGGTACGTCGATTGCGGTCCAATTAGCTGGAAAATCGGTGTGCAGGGTGCAGCTGGGTGTGGCATTGTTACGCACGTGACATCGCGGCTTTAGACTGGCTAGTCCTTCGGTCACGAGTTTGGTGAGAAGGGCTGGGGTCTGACGCCGCGCCCGTCACACTCATTACATAACAAGAATTACCCAGAACCAAGAGGTGTAACACAGATAAAACTAAAGAAGTGACGTATCAGCCAAGAAATGCATCTTGGGTGTAACTAATAAAAGCTTGGTTTTCAATCATTCTCCATGATCACTACCGCACATTACCAAGGGCATCCCTGCCGTATAAGCCATTGACAGGTTTCTTCCCTTTCCCGAATGGCTTAGTTTAATTACTTTACAACAAAAATGTAAAAAACAACATACTAAAGAAATTACTAGACCAATGTTTCTCAACTGGGGTGCTGCAAAGAGTCCCCAGGGGTGCCGCAGCAAAATTACATAAAACCCTGTACAGTCCGATCTAAAAGGGTTCTTCTGTGAAATTCTGTGTACAGACAGGAGGGAAAGAGCACAACGCACGCCTCCTCCCAGCTCTCTTCCTCTCACTAATGCTATTGGGAACCCAGAAAGCTGTGTGGGCCGCCCGCCTGCATCCTATAAACCAATGAATTGATAAGGACAGGATACAGCTTTCTGAGTTGCTAGCTTTAGCACAGATAGCAGCAGGGAGTAGGAGAGAGCCGGGAGGAGGTGAAGACTGTGCTCTCTCTCTCCTTTCTGTACACGAGTTAACACAGAATGCTCTCAGATCAGACTGCACAGGGCTTGATTACCTCCCCCTATCTCCTTTCCAGACTACTCATGTCTCGGAAGCACAAATTCAAACCCTGTACAGTCTGATCTGAGAGTTCTCTGTCTCCTGAATACAGACAAAAAGGAAATGAGCTGGAGGAGTTGGGGGGGGGGGCACAGTCCACACCATCTCCCAGCCTTCTCCTCCTCTCTGCTCTTGTCACTACTCTCTGTAGTGATGAGAGGAATGTAGTGGGATGGGAGGTTTTGTGTTAAGAGAGGGAATTGTGCTGGGGGGGATTTGGGAGGGAGGAGGAATTGTGCTAGGAGCCGGATTTGTGCTAGGAGGGGGGATTTGGGAAGGAGAAGGATTTGTGCTTGGGGGGAATTGTGCTAGGAGGGGGAATTTGGGAGGGAGGAGGATTTCTGCTAGGGGGGATTTGTGTTAGGAGGGGGGATTTGAGAGGGCGAAGGATTTCTGCTAGGGGGGATTTGTGCTAGGAGGGGGGAGGATTTCTGTTAGGGGGGATTTGTGCTAGGAGGGGGGATTTCTGTGCTAGGGGGGATTTGTGCTAGGAGGGGGGATTTGGGAGGGAGGAGGATATGTGCTATGGGGGATTTGTTCTAGGAGGAGGGATTTGGGAGGGAGGAGGATTTGTGCTTGGGGGATTTGTGTAGGGAGAGGGTTTTTGGGAGGGAGGAGGATTTGTGCTAGAGAAGGATTTGTGCTAGGAGGGGGATTTGGGAGGGTGGAAGATTTGTGCTAGAGAAGGATTTGTGCTAGGAGGGGGATTTGGGAGGGTGGAAGATTTGTGCTAGGGGGGATTTGTGCTAGGAGGGGAGTTTGGGTAGGAGAAGGATTTGTGCTAGGAGGGGGTATTTGGGAGGGAGGAGGATTTATGCTAGAGGGATTTGTGCTAGGAAGAGAGGTTGTGCTACAAGGTCAGGGTTTGTGCTAGGAGGGGTGATTTTTGAGAAAGGAGGATTTGGGTTGGTGGGAGTTTGTGCTAGGAGGGGATTTGTGCTGGGAGAGGGGGATTGGGGAGGGGGGAGATTTGTACTAAGAGAGGGATTTGGGGGGATTTACATCCTACAGACCACTTAACTCTGCCTCACAAACTATATTTTAGGTCTTTTGCAGATGTGCACAGGTGTCATTAAATCTTAGTGGCACCCCCCCCGTTTGGGTGCCATACATTTGGGTGGGGCAAGATTTAAAAAATCATGCCAGCATCTTTTTTGCTTGTTTCAAGAGTATTGAGCAGCCCTTAAAAAAAACGCAACACGTGCGAACATGCAGAAAAGTGCTCTTGCTTAGATGCACCATCTGGTGTAAATGAGCCCCTAGACTGGTGTCCCCTCGGGATTGTGCACAATTTTAAAGGGTGCCCCAACTGAAAAAAGATTGACAAACACTGGACTAGACAAATCTTAAAATGACTGTCTATATTTTTATGAGTTGGAATTTCCATTTTTGTGTGTGCTTTTTTTTTTTTTTTTTTAAGCAATAATTTGTATATTTTCTCTTTGAAGGTTTGCCTATAAGCTTCACTCCTTCAATTAAGTAATTATTTAAATTACAGTCAGCTTGGGGATTTATTTACGGCTTATGAATACACCCTTCTCATGGATCATTGTGCAAATGAAGACATGATGATTTTGGATTTGATATATAATAGCTGTTTGGATAATGTTCTATCAAAGCACGAAGACAAATTAGCGTTTTGTTAGAGCCATATTTCAGTCGCGAGCATCAAATGCATTAAAGACAAGATGCCATCAAAACTTATTGAGTTTTGGAATTCATCCATGAAAAACGACCGATCAAAATGCTTACATTTTATTACTCTGATGACACAGGTCAGATCAGAACTTTTTTTTACCTAAGTTTTCATTTTGTCAGTAAATACGCCTTGTAAAGGTATTTAACCACTTCCCGACCACCCTATAGCAGAAATACTGCTACAGGGCGGCAGGGGTGCGCAAAATCAAGTATATATACGTGATCAGGGGCGGACTGACCATTTGGAAACTCGGGCACTGCCCAAGGGCCTGAGGTCAGTAGGGGGCCCCATGAGATGCCCCTGGTACCTTTTTCATAGGCTTTTTTGAGTTTGGGCAAGGACACAGGGGCCCCATGGTCCCCTATTGCCCGGGGGCCCCATGAGTTGTCAGTCCGCCCCTGTACGTGATTTTTCATCTCCAGGTAGGGGGTGTGCACGCACTCTACCCACGCCACCATTCGTAGCCGCGGCTGTAATTTCACTGGGTCAAGGAAGGTGATTACTAGCTGGCGCCCTGTAATTGCTGAGGATCTCCGACGGGGAGGAGAATTGTTTGTAAACAAAACAGTTATCCTCCCTGTCAGCTCCTGCACACTGCTTTGGATGGCTTTGGAAGCACATGGACACAGCACAGCATAGTAAAACAGCACACAGTTAACCCTTTGATCGCCCCTCATACTAACCCCTTCCTGCCAAGTGCCATTAGTACAGTATCAGTGCTTTTTATTTTTTAGCACTGATCACTGTATTGGTGTCACTGGGGATGTCAGTGGCACCAAGTCAGTTCCCCCCAGTGTCAGAATGTCTGCCGCAATCCTGCTATAAGTCGCTGATCGCCGCCATTACAAGTAAAAAAAAAAAAAAATCCCAGTATCTATACCACCATTTGTAAATGCTATAACTTTCACGTAAACCAATTCATTTACACATATTGGGATTTTTTTTTAGCAAAGACATGGAGCAGAATACATTTTGGCCTAAATTTATGGCGAAATTTGATATTTTAAAATTTTTTTACTGAACATGTTTAACAGCAAAAAGTCAAAAATATTGTTTTTTTTCTCAAAATTGTCACTTTTCTTTTCTAGTACAAAAAATAAAAAACGCACAGGCGATCAAATACCACTGAAAGAAAGCTCTATTCATGGAAAAAAAAGACATAAATATCATTTGGGTGCAGCGTTCCATGACTGCGCAATTGTTGGTTAAAGTAACGCAGCGCTGTAACGCAAAAAATGGCTTGGTCAGGAAGGGGGGGAAATCCTCTGGAGGGGAAGGGGTTATGTTAAATTGACACTAGTGTTCTTTTTATGCCCATGATAAGTCAATAGATCCATCATATTGTAAAAGCTTTCTATAGGATGCATCAACTAGTAAACAAATTAACTGAAAGTTATAATTATTACATAAGATTTATAGTGCTCCAACACTTTGTATAACATAGAGGGAGACATTGTCGCTGAATTCCATTCAATACAAGAAGGATCTGAGGTAGAGAACTTACAATCTGAACGGTGGAGGTCATGTGATACAAAACGTAATAACTGTTCGGAATGAGTTGATGGAGAAAATAAAAGTACAGTTTAGGGTTGGGGTAGACCTCCCTCAAGAGATGGGTTTTCAGAGATCGGCTAAAGGTGGACAGAGTAGAAGATAGCCAGACAGATTGGAGTAAGGAGTCCTAGAAGATGGAAGAGGCTCTGGAGAAGTTGTAGAGGTGAGATTAGGTAGAGGTGATGAAGGAGCTAAAGAGCAAGAGGTCTTGGGAGCAGCAGAAATGATGGTTTGGGTGATATTTTGAGAGGAGGTTGGTGTGCAGCTTGGGGCAGAGTTGTATATGGCTTTGTAGGTTGTTATCAGTAGGTTACTACCAGGGGCGGACTGACAACTCATGGGGCCCCCGGGCAATAGGGGATCATGTGGCCCCGTGTCCTTGCCCAAACTCAAAAAAGCCTATGAAAAAGGTACCAGGGGCATCTCATGGGGCCCCCTACTGACTCCTGGCCCTCAGGCAGTGCCTGAGTTTCCAAGTGGTCAGTCCGCCCCTGGTTACTACTAGTATTTTGAATTTTATTCGTTGGTTGAGAAGCAGCCAGTGGAAAGCAGAGGTAGACATCGAATTGTTGGTAAGGTAGATGAGTCTGGCAGCAGAATTCATGATGGACTGAAGGTGGGATAGCTTATGTTAAGGTTGGCCAGTGAGAAGGGATTTTTTTTTTTAATAAATTCCTTTATTTGTGCAAAATACATGCACAAAGAAGGCAAACAGGGTGCAAACTCAGTAAATACCAAGAGTAAAAGTACCGATGTTAAAATGTCACATTGCACACAAAGAGATAATAATTGTCATAGCCAAGGAGAAAGACTCATGTGACAAAAACAATTTATGCCAAACATAGCAGCTCATAAAAGAAAACATGAACAGGTCATATTATGGTAGTAATAAAAACTCCCCTTGAGGTATAAAGGTTAAGGCAAGCACTGAGATAAGTTGAGGCTGACCAATTAACTGTGAGGTACAACAGCATGGGGGACGTTGCCAACCCTCTATACAAAAACAGACTAATAGCAAAAAGGAGGAGGGGACTAACAATAGATCCTGCAGAGAGATACTTAGGGAGCTGGGGGTGGACAAAAAATGGAGAGATAAATAGAGGGGGCAGCATAAGGAGTGAAAGCCAAAGAAAGGAAAGGAGAGGAAGGGTAGACAAACTAAAGATCAATGGTCATGTGTCCTCTCCCGGAGAGTGTAGACGGGGCTAAGAAGAGTGAACATCACTGGGAAGAAGTAAATGCTTCTTAAATATGCATTTGTAAATACAGGGGCGCCAAGTGCCATGAAAGGTCTCTTCTTTATTGTGCAAAGTGGCTGTGAGGTCCTTCATGTCCCTAAGTTCATTCACCTTGGAGAACCAGACAGAGAGTGTGGGAGGGTGGACATCCTTCCACCGAAGGGGGATCCAGGCCTTAGCTGCGTTAAGCAGCTGAATAGTGAGTGAGGCCTTATATTTCTTGATGAATGTCCCCGACAAATGCAGGAGGTAGGCCACTGGGTCACCATGCACCTCCACAGTGGTAAGTTGTTTGATTATGCCAGTTTCCTCTTGCCAAAATGGTTGAAGCTTCGGGCATTGCCATAAAATGTGGAAAAAGGCGCCACTATCTGCCCCACAGTGCAAGCAGGTACTAAAAATTGTGGCGAGATGCGGTGAAGGTTGGTGGGTACCCAATACCAATGAGTAAGGAGTTTATATTTGGTCTCTTGGATTTTTTTCATCATTGAGGACTTTTGGGCAAAGTGTAACATTTTTTCCCTTTATGACACTGTGAAGAACACACCTATATCTGATTCCCATTTAGAACAAAAGGGGAGAGAATAGCCATGCTTTGGATGGATGAGAGATGAAGAAATGGTGGAGAGACTGAGAAGGCATTTTTAATTACCAAAGTGAGTGATAGATAACCAGGGAGTGAATTGGTAGCTTCATAGTGTCATTGGTTAAGAAGGGGCAAATTATGGAATTGTTACAGAGATTAAGGTGGCAAGATTTAGACAGTGATTGGAATGTGGTCCTGAAAGGCGAGATCAGAGTCAAGAATTACACCGAGCACCCTGGCATTAGGCACTAGCAGTGGAGGGACAGTAAAACCCCACAGTTGAGAAGTGTTTTACCACTCACTCAACAATCCCTTTAGTTGCAGAGCCAGTGGCAGGGGGTGCGGCAGGAATTATACCCCCTATCACTTTTGGTGGGCATAGTGCCCACCAAACAATGCCCATTTAAGTGAATGAAGCTGCTCTTCAAGGGACCCAGAACTGTATGCAATGCACATGGTTGCAATGCACTAGTGCGAGGTTCAAGGGGTTAAAGTGGGCAGTGTGGAGGTGATACAATTCCTCCTCACAGCCTGTCAAATGTAGATCACTCTTCAAAGACCAAAGCTAGAGTGAACAAGCCCTAGGTGATGGAATAGTGGAATATTATGAGCTCAGTTTTGGTAGGATTGAATTTGAGGAAGTGGTGTGACCTCCATACTGATGCGTTCCAAGATATACAAAGTCTTTAAATCTTTCTGTACATAATTATTACTATTATTCTATACTACTATACAATATTGTAAAACAAAGTGGTATAGTTAGTAATGTAATCATGGGGCTCATGTGTAGGAGACAAGGGATTTTTTAAACTTAAGCTGATACACAATATGGCCGAACATTTGTGAACACCAGACCATCACACTTATAAGAGCTTTTGTTGGCCATCCCATTCCATTAAAAACCACATATATTAATATGGCATTGGACCTACCTTTGAAGCTATCACATCCTCTACTTTTCTGGGAAGGCTTTCCTAAAGATTTTGGAGGGTGTCTGTAGGAATTGGTATCCATTTGTGAGGTCAGAGCAGCATGTTGGAGTAGACCTGGCTCCAGGGCCACCTTTAACCGCCTCCGTCCTCTATATGAGGAAATGATGGGAGGGTGGCGGTTCTCTCGTTCTGGGAGGATGTCCGGGGGCACACAGTGTGACTTTTGGTGGTGCGCTGTGTCCCTGGGACACAGTTGATCTGCGATCACAGTAAAGAGCCAATGACGTAGGCTCTATAATGTGGTCAGCTGTGTCCAATCACTGCTGATCACATGTAAATAGGAAATGCTGGTTATCGGCTGTCTTCTCACACTGACCGCACGTGAGGAGAGGAGAGCCGGTAAGCAGCATTCTTTTGAGAGGACATGTACACTGATCATCAGTGCAGCCTCATCAGTGCCACCTGTCAGTGCCCATCAATGCCACATGCCAGTGTCCATCAATGCTACATATCAGAGCACATCAATGCCACATATCAGTGCCAGTCAGTTTTGCCTATCAGTGTTCATCAGTGCCCATCAGTGCCGCCTAACAGTTCCAATCAGTTCCACATATGAGTACTGCCTTTCAGTGCCCATCAGTGATGCCTGTCAATGCCCACCAGTGATGCATTGACGCCCATCAGTGCTGCCTATCAGTGCCTTCCACCAGTGCCGCCTCATTAGCGCACATCAGAGAAGGAGAAAAATTACTTATTTACAAAATTTTATAACAGAAACTAAGAAATCTTTTTTTTTTTCAAAATGTTCAGTCTTTTTTAGCTTGTTTCGCAAAAAATAAAAAAAAACCCCAGTGGTGATTAAATACCACCAAAAGAAAGCTCTGTCTAAAAAAAATTATTAAAATATTGTTTGGGTACAGTGTTGCATGACCGCGCAATTGTCATTCAAAGTGCAATAACACTGAAAGGTGAAAATTGGCCTGGGCAGGAAGGGGGTAAAAGTGCCCGGAAGGCCGGTGGTTAAGATTGATTGGCACGTGGGCAAACATTTTCTTACCACCCTACCCATGCAATTTCGCTTTCCACCTGATCTGAGACATACAATAAATAGCAGCTAAACTCAAAATCAGTTTACTGCAGCAGATCAGACAGCAATTGCAATTGATTGCAGGTGGTTACAGCATGTCATTACCGCTCACTGACTGGTTGATAGATGTTACAGCACTTAATTACGTCTCACTGATTGGTTGCTGAAGGTTACATCACATCATCTCTCACTGTCTGCACACCATGGACTGAGAAGGTTAGGGGACCCACCAATAGACAGAAAACTCCTAGGACTCCTGGCATCAATGGCAGTGCTGGGGGAGAGGGTGTGATCAGTGACAGTGCTGGGAGGAGGGTTGATGGGATCAGTGGCAGTGATGGGGGATGGGATGAGTGACAGTGCTGATGGAGTGCTGATGGGGAGGATGGGATCAGTGGCAGTTCTTGTGGGTATGGGATCAATGGCAGTGCGTGGGGCGGATGAGAGCAGTAGCAGTGCTAGATGGGGATGGGAGGTGACATTTCTACACCGACCACCAATGTTAGCGGGGATTAAAATGGATTACCAATGTAAGGGGGATTTACGCTGACCACCAGTGTAAGGACAATTCTGCATTTAACCACCAATGTTAGTGGGGATTAAAATGGATTACCAATGTAAGGGGGATTTACGCTGACCACCAGTGTAAGGACAATTCTGCATTTAACCACCAATGTAATGGGGAATTTGCACTGACCGCCAATGTATTGAATAATTTACACTGACAACCAATGTAATGGAGGGTTTTACACCAACAACCAATGTAATGGAGGGTTTTACACCAACAACCAATGTAATGGAGGATTGTACACCAACAACCATTGTAATGGAGGATTGTACACCAACAACCAATGTAATGGAGGATTGTACACCAACAACCAATGTAATGGAGGATTTTACACCAACAACCAATACATTTCTACACTGGTCACCAATGTAAGGAGGAACTTCAGGGGGCATAATATACATATGAATGTCAGTGCTATTTACATATGAATGCCACACTGTGGCTGCTATTTATATATAAATGCTGCCGATATTTACATGTGAATGCTGGCACAGTCTGCATGTGAGTCATCTGTATATGGCAAAAGGACAGAGTTGGGCAGCATAAGTGACAGCACTCCACACTGAGATGTGGGACAAAGACTTCAAGGGACAAGGGAATGTAAGCCAGTACAGTTGGCAAGTATGGGGCAGCTGCTTTGGGCCATACAACAATGACTGGGTCCAGCGAAGCTGCCCCTTTTGCCCCTTCTTAAAGATGGCCCTGCTTGGCTCACCATTTGGGTTCCAATTCATCCCAAAGGTGTTCAGAAGGTTTGAGGTCTGGGCTGTGTGTTGGACACTTGAGTTTCCCAACACCATTTAGCTAAAAATGTATGGGGCAGCTGCTTTGAGCCCTACAACAATGACTGGGTCCAGGGCAGCTGCCCCTTTTGCCCCTCCTTAAAGACGGCCCTGCTTGGCTCGACATTGGGGTTCCAATTCATCCCAAAGGTGTTCAGTAGGGTTGAGGTCTGGACTGTGTGTAGGACACACAGCATACTAATATGGGTAAAGAACAGAGTGCCAGATAGAGGAGCTAATCAGTCTGTCAATTCTCTCTTCACTGTCCAGTCACAGATTGGATGACCTGTAGGTCTTACTCAACTGCAG